CAGAGCTTTGCAAGTCCTCTCTGCCCCCCTGCATGAGGTGAATCCAAACGCTTAGGCACAGGGGTTGACACACACACACAGATATATATATATATACACACAATGTAAATATAAGTCATACCCGGGAACGGGATCAGCAATTCTGTCAAGGTCTTTTTGGTTGAACGAGAGTTTGTTGAATGGCCAGCATCTGTGACGCTTCATTGTGCATGGCACGTGTGCCTGCACACTTCTGTGCTAGGCTGTGCGTTGTGCACATCATATGAAGCATACAACTCTGGCGCAAGGTTATACATTACGGTACAAGCTCATTGGGCACAAAAACCTGGCGCATCTGCATAGGGGCATTTGGCTTGCAACAAACAAAATGGTCTCTTGCCGCCTCCGCGCACCAGCTCCAGGATCAGAAAGAACCAGTCACCCTCCTGAACAACTGGGCACACCCTGAAGAGAGAAAGAAACAAGACTCCTTCGACCCAACACAGAGGCCTCCGAGGCCTCAAGGTCTCTGTGAAACCATCCGATCCTCGACTTCTTCTCGAAAAAGTTACAGCTTCAGGCAGCATTCCAAGGCTGGAGATTGGATGAAAAGTTGTGCAGTTGTGCTCAAATCTGAGCAGGTCTGGAACGTATCAGCTTGGATAGTAAGGTCTAGAATACGCAACCGTCTTCCACAACTGCAACCGTCAACGAATGCGCTTCCCAACTGCAACCATCAACCGTCGAGGTTTTGCGCCTCAAAAGCATCGACCAGTTGTACAATCCGCCTTAGTGGGTCGCTAGAGCTGACGAAAAGGAAAAGCTGCAGCACATTTGCATGTCATGCGCCAAAGGTAGGACCCCAGGTGCAATGTGCGCTTCAGCCAGATTGTCACATAGTCTATTCTGAGAGCATCGCTACTAGTAACAAGGGCATTACTACTAGTAGCAAGGACGCTACTAGTAGCTAACTAAGCACCCTGCTACTAGTAACAAGCGTAACAAGGGCATGGCCACTAGTAATTTCAAGGCTTTTGCTTCGCACCCTAACGTGCCAAGAAGATCTCAGTCCGTCATCGAACTCTATCGGCCAAGGGGCGGATGCGGCGGCAACTCCTTGAGGATTTTCAGTTCGCCTCAGCCGAGGCAACTCCCTTCGCTCAGACAGACTTGGGTGGTGTATTTCCCAGACTTGAGGAGCCAGTCCTCGCGTGTCGCTGCCAGTCTTCGCGTGCTACAAGCAGCTGCTTCATTTCGACGCCAAACTACCTGCACTCCTCCCCATTGTTGAATACACACGGAAGGAACTCTTACACCAAAACCCAAACTCTTTGGCAATGCCGGCCTTTTCTCAGCCATCACCTACTGATTTCAGTCAAGAGTGAAGGTTCAGCATCCACCGTGATTAAGGTGTAACTCAGTTTAGATCTTTGAAGGACTCGGCATAAACCCATGCCAGGAATTCCTGGTCTTCCTACCTCTGCGGTAGAATCCCTGATCTTCCTGTATTGTGCTAAAAAATCTGCTACAAACCTTCCATAACGTCTCATCCATCCCGACCATCCCGGCTCTCCATCGAGGCACGACCCAAGCGAGTGAGGTCCCGTTGAGCAGTGGCCCCCAAGCGCAAGGAGCGCAAATTCAGAATCTTCACCGCCTGGGACCGTCGTCGACTGCCGCGGTTGAGCCGAAGGGTCCCATTGGGTGACGGTTTGTAGGGAAACTGGTTTGGGTGCCATTGGTCCATGTTAGTTTTTGGGAGTGGAACTGAAAACTCACACAGCAATATATATATACCTGGAACCTGGAGTGCCTTCAAAACGGAAGGTCTTTCAAACAAACTCAGTTTCTGAGTTGAAAACCTGGATTTTCCCGAAAGGGACGTAAAATGCAGAACCACAAGAATCTCAATATCTGCAGAAACTGCATGCCTGCTTTAGATAGCTGTGCAGGTGAAATGGACGACCCATGACGACCCTCTTGGCTCCAAAGGATGTAAAGCAAGAAGGGAGGCCACCAACACTAGCAATTTCCAATCGGCACCATTGGCAAGAACTCAACAAGTGCCTGTGGAGTCTGGAATATCACTTGCAATCCTTGGTTGCCAGTGGTCCCCGAGTGTTGCTTCAAAGCTCCTTTGGTGGTTTACCTCAAGGGTTCCTAAGGTTCTAGGAACCTGACACCTGGTTCGCCGCCGACTTGCTGCAAGAACCCGTTTTGCATCGAAACATGTTCGAGCTCTTTGGCAGCGCCGCCAATCAGCAATGCCACATCCTCAGCCCGGATGGCTTGGAGCATGTGGCTCGATGGGGTATGAGTTGGTAGCGGTCTCGTTCATGGAAATCAAATCTTACAGTAGCACTGCCCCCAAACAATTTTTTTGCGTTGAGATGTTTTTGATTGCCTTCAACTAGACCTCTTTATATTCGCAAGTGCAACAAGGTGTTTGCCACCCTTTACTGCAGGAGAGCAGCATGTCATGTTTGGAGAAGGAAGGCATGCATATGCAAGCATGTTGAACTTATCGCGCTATATCACTAGCACTCTTGGCTCTGAAAGTATACTTGTTTTCGCAACATGGCTTTACCTGACCTTGCCACTTTGGCGGATGAGTGGGAAGACAACAAGGCTTTGCGAGACTTGGCTCGCAAGACTGGCTCGCTCTTCAAATCTGATGATGATGCGGAGGACGTGCCACCCTGCACAGTCAAGGGCTTGGAGGCCAACTACGATACCATTTTGCCTTTGATCACGCGACTCTCCGATGGGGTTGGTGGTTTAGACATGGCGAGCATTCCGCAGCTAGAGCAATCGCAGCTTGATTGCATGCTATGTTGTAGCTGATTGGGTTTGTAGGCCTAGGGCTCACGATGGCTCTCGACTCTCAAGGTATAGTCTGTCATGCAAACGCATGCATGTGGGGACCTTTTCACCGCCAAGGCTGAACAAGTTCTATGAAGCTGTCCATCTGACACCGACCAAGCGGCGGGTCAAGTTGGAGGCCTGGCTTTGCAAAAAGTACGCAGTGCTCGTGAAGAGGAAGCTGCAGCGTGGGCAGCTGCCACGCTCCACCTCTTTGAGGCTGTTGCTTGCTGCTGCATTCCCCGCAGGAGTCTGGGGAGGCGACCAGGATGAGGATTGGGCAAGAGGGTTTCTGAACCATACGGCTCATGAGTGCAAAACTTTGGCAGTTGTTGTTCAAAGCCATTTGTCCATAATAGTTCATTGCCTGTTTGAATTGACTCTCTTGACTCTCTTGACTCTGCAAGGACCAGGATGGCAATGATACCAATCGACCTGATGGCACTGGTCCTGGTGAGCCCTTGGCATTGACCCAGGAAGAGGAAGATGCTGAGGATGAAGTGGCAGTGGAAGCCGAGCTCAGCCATGACTTTGACGAACCTGGAGTGATCGCTGAAGCTGAAGCTGCTGAGAAGGCAGGTGAGAGTCCAGAGGTGATTGACTTGGGGAGCCAGGAAGATGATCAACTTGAAGAGCCGCCTGCCATGGATGAGCCATTTGCTGAATCTCAAGCTCCTGAACCCGAACCCCTTGATGGAGCTGAGTTGAGTGATGAACCTCCAGCAGGTCCTTCCACTGACCTGGTGGGGGATGCAGACTCACAGGACTTGCAAGGGCAAATCAAGGAACTCCAGGACAATCTAGCTCGCATGAAGAAGCTGCGGACTGCCAAGAATCTTGATTAAATTGTCAACCTGTTCTTGGTTAGTGTTTGCTGCACCCCCTGTGAATTTGTTCCAGAGCGAGGTCCCAAAAGTGGGAACCTCTTCATGTTCTGATAGTGCTCTTCCTGAGGCAGGCCCAGGAGGCCTTGTCACGGACCACTAGTGGCATCTCCAAGACCATCCGTGTGGAAGAGTCTTTGCCCTATGGAGCGGACAATATGGACACCCTGTTGCTCTCTGAGTCTCTTCAAGAAGCCGCTTTTGACCGTCTTGCTGAAGAAGCTCCAGCAGCCGAGATCATCCAAGAGGACATGGACCCAGCTTCTTGTCTGATCACTGCATCGACCAGCACACGGGGTACAACTTGCTTTCTTCTATTTCTTAAGATATTTCTTAGGTGTTTTTGGTTCAAGTGTCAAGGCATGTGCACCCCAAACAGGGCACTTGTGGCCTGCATACCCTGTTTCTCAGTATTCCATCCCAGGCTTTGCGCCGCCAGCAATTCCGCATGAGGCAGGAGAAGGCGGCGGAAGAAGAGGAGGGGGAAGGCCCACGCCCGAAGGCCAAGGCAAAAGCCAAGGGCCGACCCAAGGCTAAGGGGAAGGCCAAAGCAAAGGCCCAGTCAAAGCCGAAGGCCAAGTCTAAAGCCAAAGCTTCACCGGAACCAACAGCTGATGGAACAGTTGGCGCAACAGCTGATGCCGGAGAAGCTGAGACAAATGATGAGGTGTCTGGGAAGGCTGTGCCTTCAGAGCCAATTCATGAAGATTGTGCGCCTTCAAAGGCAACTTCTGAGAAGGTCCAGGCGTCGGTTGAGAAGGGAGCACCCTCAGAGGCGGTTGCTGAGAAGAGTGGGCCCTTAGAAGCCGATCCTGAAAAGGATGAGCCTGCAGTGGACCCACAGATGGGGTGCTCGAAGGTGGATCCTACAGGTCAGCCTTCAAACCCAGCATCAAGCAAGGCTCGGTCTGCCAAGGCAAATGTTGATGGAAAGGATGTATCTTCCAAGGCACGGCTTGCACGCGCCAAGTCAAGTGCCAATTTGCCTGAAGAAGAAGAAGCAAAGAAGCCGGCTCCGACAAAGCGAAGGCGTGTGAAGGAGACCCCTGAAACCACGGATGGTCTCAAGGACTTGCCTGTGGAACCCCAAGGTGACAAGAATTCTACCCCAAAGCCAATGGAGCCATTGGATTCCAAGATGGGCGAGAAGTGTTCGGAGGTAGCGGACCCGGCTGAAGCTGGAAAGAAGAGGGCCCGGAAAAGTGAGGATGGAAGCGGGAAGAAACGCAAATCTGGGGCTGAGCCCCCAGAGGAGGGAATTCTCTACCGTGGCAAGGCAGCCAAGAAGAAAAAGGAAGATGGCGCCAGTGCTCCTGCTCAGCCTGATGCCACTGCCGGGAAGAAGTCGCGAAGCAAAACCTTTGCAAAAAGGTACAGGCCAAACTCAGTATTTGGAGCTTCCAAGTGGGATGGCATCAAGGAGGCATTTGACGAAGTCATTCGCCCCAATGTGGATGGCCCCTACACTGCTCACGAGGACACTGATTTCAATAAGCAACATGTCCTATCGAATTGCTTGGGCAATGCGCTGTCTAATCCATTCTGCATGCTTGGGCCATTGTTTGATGGATGTTGATTGTTTTCTTGCTTTGCATTGAGCCTGGAGATGCCCTGACATGATCAGGGCATACCAGGTCTAGTGCATAGGATATATAGCTGTCAAATATGCATAAGTTTGCGTTTGACCACCTTCTGTCCTGAAAATCATTTTTTGGCAACTGCAATATTCAACTTGTGCCTTGTTTGCCTGATCGCCTGGAGGATTACTTTTGGACCTTCTGCAGCACAGCTTGGGACAAAGCCAAGGTGGAGATCACAGGTCAGAATGTCTATGACAAGGCAACGAAGGCAGCCCATGAGTATGTGAGCCAAGTCAATGCCTACCTAGGAAATACTCCGTAGGTTGAAAGTTCGGCTGGCAGCGATCCATAGATCACCATAGACTGATCGAGTTAGGGAGCTGGTTCAAGAACAACCTATTTCTTTAGTATGTTCAAAAAAATCTTTGGTATTGGTGACTGGGTCGCTGCGTGCAATATTTTGGTTGAGAGCTTTAGATTCCAGGGGAAACTCCTGGTAGTCAGGCGGTCTCACCTTGACCGCTTGGGCTTTCCAGGCGTGTAGGAATCTCACAATGCCAGAAATCCCTAGCTAAAGGATCTTTCATGATCTTTCAGTGGCAACCTACGTGCCACATGAACAGTTGACGTGGCAACTGCAAAACCAGCTTTTCTCAAGTGTGAGGTTCTTATCTTCCACTGCTCAGCCTTCCCCACATGGGATCTTCAGTCACACCCCGTCGACACCCGCTCACGTCTGAGGCCTGACTTGCGGCCATGGTTCGAGGAGATGGGTGGTCTCGCCGACTTCTTCCTGCCAGAAATTTCTTGAAGCGTGACCGTCACCCCAGCTCATTTTATTTGTGCAAGTCTCTGGGAGGCCCTCACAAGTGTTAGTAAGAATTGATGGGCCCATGCAATCGAAATAAGGATTTTGAAATGAAACGGAATGAAGGAATGAAGCTTGACAGCCACTGTGCTTCTTGCCAAAAAACTTTGCCCGCTACTGTCTCCTGAACCGATAGAAAACATCAAGGTTTTGACTAGATTGGCCAAAGTGGCTGAAGCCATGCCGTGCGATGAAGCCAAGTTGAACTTGGTCCTAAAGAGACTGGATGCCCTTGACGCTCCTAAGGCCAGCTTGGCGTTGTACGCTATGCATTTGTGGCTCTAGGGTGTTTCTCCACTACACCCTTTCCAAGCACCACGAACAACCTCCCTGCATAGGTGTTGCTTGGGATTGTCATCCTACTCGCTTGCTTGGATGATGTCCGCATCTTTACGGAGGCAGGTTCTGTTCCGAAGCATGGCTAGGTGATCAATAAGAATGGTTTGCTATATAGGTGCTTTTT